GGGGTTGGACTAGATGACCCACAGAGGTCCCTTCCAACCCCTACCATTCTGTGATTCTGTGAACAGTGAGCAACTGCTTCAAAATTATATACAGGTGATACATTTAAACATCAAGAAATTTAAAGATTAGTTTACTTCACAATATTTAACAGAACATGCTTTCAGATCATTCTAAATTCCAAACAAAAAATGGATTGAAGAAATTACAATAAAGCAGTGATGCTGAAGTCATCAACAGTATTATTTTATGAAAAAATACATATCTAAACAAACCAACATCTCACTCCTAATTCCTCGTTATATAGGAAAACACACAAACTAATGCACTTAAAAAAATGCCAATTTAAATTTGTTTGTGGAAACTACAAAATACTTTAGTAATTTGAGATTTTTCTTTACAGTTCATAGTAATACTCTTTTCTTCCAAGACTGAAAGTGTCTCCATAAAAGCTCTAGGGAATCCCATTAGTCCAATGTCTTGTGTTCTATATTAACATTAGAATAAAGAAAAAGAAAAGTCCTATGATGTTTTTAGCAAAATTAGAATAAAAACTAACTCCATACCTGTGGTGTGAGAAATTTTTCAACCCGTTTCGCTATAAAGTTCGTCTCCAATATGGAGTTTACTGAGGGTCTATTCTTAGGATTCCTTTTAAATAACTGTGACAGCAGATTACGTAGGTCATAGGAGTAATGCACAGAAACAGGAGGGAAACGTCCAGAGATTATCTTGAGTACCAAGTTCTTCATGTTACCAGCTTCAAACTGTGTCACACAAGAAAGAAAACAGTTACTATCTATTACTGTCTGTCCACATGTAAGGCTGCATATAAAGATGAAGGGGAAAACAAAAAACCAACACATCTCCCTTTGCGTCAACAAACAAAACCAGATTTTCAAGGCCATCAACAGTTTACATCAGCAGTTTAAAATAATCTGCTGCCAAGTATTCTGATCATAAATACATCCTCATACAGACATTTCATACTATAGAGATATAAACTTTCCTAACAAACAATTATTTCCCTCCAGATCAAGACTGACAAAGATATACAATTAAGGATAAAGTAATTATATAATTATCTGCTTGATGTTCTCTCCAAAACTCTTTCAACCATCACATGCCTTCTGCCCCTTTTAGGGAAGCCACGCTTCAAATGAAAGAATGTAAAGCATTCACACTCATTCAGTGTAAAATGCAAAGGAATGCTTAGACCTCAGCTTCAGCTCAGGAAGCAGGAGCACTATTTCAGTTCCTTTGTACAATAAAAAGAAAACAGTACATATCACCCAGCTCAGAGAGAACAACCTGTTGCCATCAACTCTCAAAAAGGCAACATTGTCAGCATTGCTGCCACAGAAAAGACAAATAAGAAATTACAAAAGCTTGAAATAAAATTAAATCCTTATCCTCTGAAATTTTTCTTCTGATTTTCACATTTTCATCTTTTATTGTTTAATAAAAATAGCTATTAGAAAAAAAAACAACAAAGAACTCAAAAACCCACAATGAAAACAAGACCGAAAAAATGTTTTTTTCCCCTTCCTAAATGGAAAACAGATGATAAAGACATAGTCTTCAAAACAACACACATACACACAAAAAGTAAGGCAACTCCTTCACCTTACCAGTTTTTTCTAAGAACTATTCATGTTCTAAGCAGAAATGTATTTATCCACCTGCACACAAGCTGACAGTCCAAATTCAGACTTTCAATGAAATTGTAAAGTTTTGGGGAAGAAAGGAACGCTATTCACAGTATCATTTGTTAAAGCACCTAATAATTTTTTCAGCTAATACCGTTCATTACAAACCTACACTGAAAACAAAATACACAGTGCTAAGACTTCTAGAGAGATTGGCATGAACCAAAACACAGACGGAAAACATTGCTCAGTATAGGAAGAGGAGATTAAAACGTTGAAGGGAATTTTAAACAGTTACCATGAAAGCCTTTCATCAACTGAAACACATTTGCGTAACAACACGAAAAATCCCTGTTTGAATCCATCACTCCTTTAAAGAAACAAGTTTCTACTCACCGCATGTTTAAGTGTGCACATTTCATACAGAACACAACCAAGGGCCCAGATATCACTAAATGAAAGAGACCATACTTAAGAATTAGTTCTAGGTGTAACATCGCCAAGTGACTTACGTCTGTGAAGTCTATCTTTGAAAAGGAAAAGGTTGTATTTTGAGTATGTAAAAACTCCTTTCTATCTCCCACCCCTCCAAACACACACACACAAAAAAATAATTTCAACTAAAAATAAGGTCAACCTGAAAATCCGATAGGGTTATTTTGACTCCGGATTTTATTTAGACCTTTTCATCTGAACCACCCCAATTGGAAAAATTAGCCAAAATATGGACAAAGGCTTTTTTTCTTTAAATGTATACATTTTCCTGAGGTCTTTGAATTAAAGAAAAAAAAACAAACAAAAACCAACATCCACTTCAGCAAGTACAATTCTTAAAGTCAATTTACTCTGTTGAACATTGACTTAACTTGCCCTCTGTAATCCCTAGAGGATTACAGAATATGGTTAGGATACCATTGAATAATAAATCCCATCCAAGAGAAATTAAGGGACAGGGAACTGTAATACTTTTTATCTTTCAAGAAACCAATTGAAATTAGTATGAGGCACTCACAACAATGGATGCAGCAGCTTAGTGAAGCGTAAGACTAACTTGATGTCCTGGTTTTGGCTGGGATAGAGTTAATTTTCCTCCCAGTATCTACTGTGTTTTGAATTTAGCAGAAGAATGTTGATAATATGCTGATGTTTTAGTTGTTGCTAAGAAATCAAGGACCTCTTCCAGTTTCCCATGTTCAGCTAATGAGCAGGTGTGCGGGAGCTGGGAGGGAGCGGCCAGTAAGCTAGCCCAGGCTGGCCAGTGGAATTATTCCATACCATGGACATCATGCCGAGTTTATAAATCGAGGTTGTCCAGGGGGCAGGGATCCATGAGATCTGTGATTGCTGCTCAGGGACAGGCTGCATCATCAGTTGTTGGGCGGTGAGAATTTGTATGGTGTATCACTTGTTTTGCATATTCTTTATAATTATTCCTTCTTCTGATGTCTCACTAAACTGTCTTTGTGTCAACTCACAAGTTTTACTTTTTGTCCATTCTTCTCCTCATCCCACTCAGGGGGCAGGGGAGTAGTGAGTGAGCGGCTGTCTGGTCCTCGTTGCCAGACAGGTTAAACCATGACACTTGATAATCACAGAATGGGAGGGGTTGGAAAGGACCTCCGGGGATCATCTCGTCCAACCTTCCTGCCAAAGCAGGGTCACCTACAGCAGGCTGCACAGGACTGTGTCCAGGCAGGTCTTGAATATCTCCAGAGAAGGAGACTCCACACCCTCTCTAGGCAGCCTGTTCCAGGGCTCCATCACCCTGAGAGTGAAGAAGTTCTTCCTCATGTTCAACTGGAACTTCCTATGCTTCAAAAGTTTGTGCCCTTTGCCCCTTGTCCTGTTTGCTGGGCACCACTAAAAAGAGTGTGGCCCCATCCTCCTGACACCCACCCTTGAGATATTCATAAGATCCTCCCTCAGTCTTCTCTTCTTCAGGCTAAACAAGCCCAGCTCCCTCAGCCTTTCCTCCTAGGAGAGATGCTCCAGTCCCCTCATCATCTTTGTAGCCCTCCGCTGGACTCTCTCCAGTCATTCCTGGTCTTTCTTGAAGTGGGGAGCCCAGAACTGCGCACAGTACTCCATATGTGGCCTCACTAGGGCAGATGACCACGTTAATTACATTAGGTACGCTGCTACCAGATACAGCCTACTGCCAGGACAGCAAATGTATAAGCAAAGTATCTGTATGACTTTATTATCTGAAGCATGCTGAGCCACCTATCTATGCATGCGCTTAGAGAATCCAATTACTGTGTTTGTGACTTCACCCTTAACGTGGTTTCACATTCATATTGCATAAATTAAGGCAGTACAACTAGTGTGAAGATAGGCAAAGGTAGAGGCGTAATTAAGAACACAGAACTAGAACTCGGAGCATTAAGCTACGTCATTTCTGCATCACATTGCTTTGTATTGCACAGACCTACTGAGGTCCCACTTGCACAGTGAGACTCAGTACCTTCTCGGGTAAGAGATGAACTAACAGATGTTCACCATCATCTGAGAGAACAGCTTCAGATTTCTAAAGAACTCACTCCTTACCAAAAATGATTAATAAAATGCTTATCAGTACCTTTTATTGTTGTAAGGTTTGTTCTGACATATTTCAGGCGACAAATAGTATGGCGTTCCTATGCAAGTGCGAGTCAACTCGGCAGTACTAAGGAAAAAATAAGAATGAATGTGAACTAGTTAATTCACATGAAGTGCAGACTGTTTTCCTAGATCAAAGTGATTTAGATTAAGTCAAAGAAAATAGCATTAAAAAAAGGAGTTACCTGTTAAGAATTCTGGCAATCCCAAAGTCTCCCAGCTGTATTGTTCCATCTTTGGTTAAAAATATATTCTTGATATAGAAATTTTAAGAAGTCTGTTAATTAAAACATTCATACACTCGCACTCTTTTTGTTCTCAACATGTTTTGGGAAGAACAAAGTTTTCTACTATTCAATCACCCTAAATTCACTAGCCGTAGTGTTATTGACTCCTATGAAACACTAGACTTATTCTAGTCCTACTTCATCAAAATTGAATGCTATCACACATTCTAAAACATAACCTTTCCTGTTCCTACACATAAAAACATGAGTGATACTCATGTAGCTTCACCAAACAGTCTCATCTGTTTGTACAAATATCAAATAAACCTCTTCCAGACAATTCTGATGAAGTGTTCCCGGTATCAGAGGTGTTTATGTAAAAAGACTATTTTCCATAATTTTCCAATTTACAGTAGCAAGACATGAACGTAATCACTTTGGAAGTAAATTCAGTTAAAAAATAATTACTTACATACCTGTGACTTTATGTCCCGATGCAAGATCTTTCTATCATGTATGTGTTTTAGCGCTAAACAGATTTGTACAAACCAATCCAGAATCTATGCATAAAAGAAAATGCAACATCTTCATTTACCTGAAAGCTTCCCCAGTGACGTAACTGAAGATATTATCAAACCATTTTTATAATTTTAACTCAAGATTTTACACTCTTCCCACAAACCTGTCTTCATTTATACCAACCAGTAATTAAAAACATAAGAGTACCATCACTATAATGCAAACTTATTAATGAAAGATGCCCATTACCCAAATTAGATATTAAGCCTGAGACTACTAGCTTCATTACATATTATAAAGCTAAAAGAAGTATGCAATGTGAATTTGATTGGCTAAAATGTGTAAGACACAGAACTTGGATCTTAGAGATTGTACTATTTCTGTAACCAGTAGAAGTCTTCTTGCAGTCACTCAGTCAACCAACAGTTCTAAACAGCCATACTGATGTTTACAGAAACTCTTATTTTATCATCTAATAATTTTATGTATTTTACCTTAAAAAGAAAAATAGTACAAAGCAGATTTAAATGAGAAAAGCAACAATCAACATATAACTAGAAGATTACAAACAAGCCAACGAACCAATTTTTTTTGTAAATTTGTAAAAATCACAATACAAGAAGTGAATAATGACAAGAACTTTTCCATGTGAATAGTGGTTTCACACTCCCACCTTCGAGGTACATACATGCCAAAATCACAGTATAATGCAAGGTGCAATTGTCACTTTTCCATTGTAAATTCTTCTGGTAAAATTGAGACCAAATTAGAAAAACGAAAAGTTTTACAAATTACATCCAAGAAATTTCATGATTGCCCTATTCTAAACACCATCAATAGATCTAATACACTACTAAGCCTTTCCAACCACAGGTAAATTGAGATTATACTGGATGCAGACACAAAAGCACAGAAACAAATTATAAACAAGGAAACATACATCAGTTCTAACAAAAAAAATGCATCCTACATAATCTATTTTAACTTAATTTATTCAAATCTGTATATAAAATCCTCTTCTTTATTCCAGATTCTCCCACAGTACAAATGACTTCATAACCAGTACAATGGAAAAAGAAAATCTGCCAGTATGCTTCCAATATAATATTAATTTTTTTCTAACAGAAACAAACTTCTGAATTAGGTAAACTTCATATTGCTTTCTTTCATATTACTATATTTACAAAGTATGTTATTTTATCCTTCTGAGAAATGAAAATCAGTATTACCAACCAAAAATCCTCTGCCACTCTATCTTTAAAAAAAGGTAGCAATTCCAAAGGCTTAAAAATACTCGTGTTGTCCTTCAGTATTTTTCATTTCTCAGATTTGGTTTACTTTGCAAGAGATCCAACTTTTTTTAAAGCATCTTACACATACAGACAAAACCCAATTAAGATATCCAGGAATTCCAGTTACTTTTTTTTTTTTTAAAGATACTACTGTGACTCACGGCAACGAGAATCACAATTTGAGAACCTCCTTTTAGATTAAGCAACCATAACTACCAAACAGAACCAAAATAATTTACAACTCATGAAAAAGTATCATGCACCAAAGCACTACAGCAACAGTTTGCTGTTACCTGATCTTCAGAGAACAAGATTCCTTTCTGAGCATTTATTTTTTTAAACAGGTCGCCTCCTTCACAGTAATTCATCACTATGTACAGACAGCCATTCTCTGTAAAACAAAACACAAAGTATTTCAAAAAGAAAAAACGACCCATCTTCAACATAACTTTCTGACTATCTTCATTGCAGTCACAGAAAAAGCAACAAAAAAAACCTCCACCTCTTCACGTGCAGCTTCACATACCATCTATTAGTCCCTTTTTCAAATGTCCAGCAAAAATGCTTTTATTATTTAGAGTTTCACAACATAAGTTTCCCATTTCTAGTAACATCGGACTATTTTGAAATGGAAAGAAAAAAATGGCATCTGCTGAACAAATGCCCCAAAGTGGGGTTCGAAACCACTACGAAATTACAGGTCACTTTATCAATGCGATATAACACCATTCTTCAACATGCTTTGAAACATGCTATAGACCCCCTACCCTAAAAATAGAGATCTTAAGTTCTAATTGAGCCAGTTGCCTCTATTCGCCTAGTTCTCGGAGTTTTACCTGGACAACGTATTACTTGCACTAAGTGCAAGAAAGTGACAATCTCCAGCTCTCATACCAGACACACGGTTCATTTCAGAGACTAAAGAACAATAATGAAACTTCCAGCAGACAATGACAGATGTAAACACTTATTTTCTCATTTTTGAAAGAAATTTGGGGAGACTTCCAAAAATTCTATGCAAGTTTCTACTAGGCAGTATGAACACATATAATATATTTCACACAAAGTTACAGTTTTGTTCCGCAACGCAATCTTTTCCAGTTACTGATGCAAAAAGAGATTAGGCAGAAGCAAACTGCAAGTTACTAAAACCTCAAGAACTACACTACTCACATATTAGGGATGATTTTGAGAAAAGCTGAATAAATGCATAAAATCAATCACATAGAGCTCAAAAGAAAAACTCTTATTTTACGAAAGAGTTAGTCATAGCACTTAAAAACTCTAAATACAGTCAAACTTCACTAAATCTTTTAAGTTGTTCAAATTTCACTTCCACAGAATGCTTCTGAAGTCTGTCTTTCAAAACATCATTCTTTTGTGCTTACGTGTTTTGGTTTAGCTTTATAATCAGTATTATTTTAAAAGATGATGCTAGGAGTCTGGATTTCTGGCAGACCTGTTGCCGAAATAATTATCTTTTATAAACCAAATCAGTATGTTCAAAGTCAATGTGCTTTAACAATAAAGATGCAACACGAAGTCTCATGAACTACAGATTACGGGATGTACCTTCTAAGAAGAGAAAAGAAAAAAGCAGTCTTAAAGAAAAGGCCTCTATTACAGAGAGGACAGAAGTGTGGATTTGTGAATCAGAAGACCATGGCTGTGCAATATGACTATGGCACAAAATTATAACTTAATAGAAAAAAAATAAAAGCCCCCAATCAAAAGACATAAGAAAGTCAGCAGAAGGGAAGGAAAGGAGAAAAGAGCAGCATTCCTAAACAGCATCTCAAATAATATTTAGGTTTTTTTAATAGTACTTTATGATAGGCTCTTGGAAACTTTTATCTGTTCTGCTTATCTCCCAAGACATTCACTGTGAAAATAATGTGGAATAACATTTCTCCTTCCTTCATAGCTTGATGAAGTAAACAGTACCATCTATTCTTCCAGCTCTGAAAGCAACAGTATGATTGTCATTACTAAAGACTGCATTTTAAGACAACAGACTTTGAGACAAAATTGCTCTTGCTAGGTTATCAACACTCTAATTTAGACCATACTCATACCTAACCTGCACAAGCATTCAAGTTGTTGGGGTATACACAAGTATTCAAGGAGACTTAAACTCTGGAGAAACGAGAGCACAACCCTTTCACTTAAGCATCAACCAAAATCAATGAATGTAAGGAAGACACATGAATATTTTTATTTATTTGTTGCACTTGTTAAAAAAATTCCTATTATTTTTTAAATGTGCAGGAGAATTGTGAAAAAAATACAGCCAAAAAAGAACTGAAGCAAGCAATACAAGTATGAAAAAGTGTGCTTAAAGAGAGGAAACATGCTGACTTGTAAATTACGTTGAATAAGTAGTGCATAGACAGTCACTTACTATCACTGTTTCAGGTTCTATTGCATTCATCTATCTTACCTTCAAATGACTCTCTATACAAGACAATATTCGGATGTTTCATGTTAGCCAATACAGCAACTTCTCTCCTTGATTCTTCTCTCTCCTTATTTGACATCTTTAAAAGGAAAATAATAATTTTTGAGAACAGGAATACAAATAGAATGGATCGGTAATTAATAGTAATCACTCACCTTAGAGATGTTTATTTCTTTAATAACATAATGTTGGCCATTCTCTTTAGCTTTGACAAGAATTGCTTTCCCAAAGGATCCTTCTCCAATCTTTCGCACTTTAATATATCTATCCATAGTTATCTTCTTAATGCAGCCTTACTCCAGTACTAGTACTAGCAAAAAACCACAAAACAGATTTAGTTAGCCATAGCTAGTCATCTAGCCTGCGAGGTCATGTTTCTTTTTTTTTTTTTACTCAAAATGTCAATCTATTTGTCTCCTCACTTGCATCACATGCTTTGTAGCATTTCTGCAGATCATCTACATTTAGTCTCGATTCTGTCTTGGTACAGTTGGCTCATTTGGTGTAGAAAAAGGTCTGCACTGCTAAAACCAGTTTAATCTTTCATCCTGACAGACAGTATAAAAAAAGGATATGTTTTACCTTTAAATAATGCAAGTAGTCAGTGCCATAACTTCCAATTTGGCTAGCACAAAAACATCTTATAGAGCTGCAGCACCCAGTTAACAAACTTTCATTCAACTTTACTTTGAAGAACCACGATACAAGCGGGGGGAAAAGTTTCCTACATGTTGTTTCTCAAGAAGCACTAAATCCAGTATTTTGGAAATTAGTCACTATAATGAAGCCAACAATGGACCGAATTCAAGAGCTCCCCATCATGCTGAGAATCATTACTCAATATAAAAAGGCATGACCTTAATTCTGATAGAAAAATTAGATAATTTATTTTTCTATGCTGCGTAGAAAATAAATTACAAAATGGTGCACACTGGTATTTTTAATATACTATGTGACCACTTCAACTACCTCTCAAGAGTAAACAGATTACTCAGCTGAATGTTGATGGTGTTCAAGGTTCTACATTAAAAAAAACTTTAGTAAAAATAAGACACTAGTGAGCTGCATGTGGAATGTACGGCAATACAGAGAAGTGTCAGAACAGCAAAGAGAATTGGGAAAACAAAGACCAAAGTGATAAATATAAAAGTAAATTCACAGTGAAGTAAAAGGTCATCTCTCCTACAGTAGAAAGAACTTCCATACCCTGAGCAAGATTCCGTAAGCCAAAAAAGACAAAACATTCCTACGCTTTTCTGCACCCAACCCCACTTGAGAGCATTAACAGCATTTCTGCTTTGCAGTACCTGGCTTCCTTCCAACAGGAGACCCTATTTGCTTAGATCTGTGCTTCACACACACCTCAGGTAAGGCTCTTCTCCCCGATTTGGGATCGTGTTTTTTGTCACGGATTACTATGCACAGATGCTGCTAAAGAGTCTCAGAAAGATGAAGGACCCATACCACAGAAGCAGACTAAAACAAATAAGCTTGATCAGTATAGTAAGACAAAAGACAAGAGAACTGACGTAATCTTTTCTGCAACACAGGAGACGGGAAAACAACCAGGACTAAGGATAACTACCAGGAAAGAAAAAAGGGAAAATGACAGGCCTGCAGTATCTTGGTGGGGTTTTTTTGCCCTGAAGTACAGAAAGGTAGTTTAGTGTGAAGCTGAACTCTAAAAAAACAGAAAAGAGTCAGTATTAACACCAATATTCTCTTTTAGGCAATCATAAAACATAGCAGGTGCGACACAACTTTAACTTCACACAGTTTTACTAAGTTCTCTTCCTATACCTGCTTTGTTTACGACACAAGCTGCACTGTACTACAGCTAAACCAGCTGCATCAGGCGCAGTCCAGGGCTCCTACTGCACACCGCTCTATGCGAATACAAACGATCAACGAGCAGCCCGTGGGCGAGCAGGCACAGTTCGGTCACACAGGGTACGTCATTTCGTACGAGTTACACGGCTTCTTTTCACCCGCGGCTCGGGAAATACGAGTCTCGAGAAGGGATCCCGGCGCTGGCAGGGCGTTGGCTTCTCAAGCCCTGGGCAAGAAGCCAGCTTA